GAGACGATTTATAATAGGAATTCATTTAAATGACCTCATTAAAAACTACATTTTATATATACTTGGGTTCAACTTTACATGTATGCTATCCAAAGTTAGCACACTTGAAAAAGTCACATAAAGTCGTCTGTGCGTAAACACAGGCTCTTGTAGCAAAAGTTTGGCCTTGAGCCCTCTTTATAGTCATAGCAAAAGCCAACCTTAGTGAAACATAAAGCCTCTCTAGAATGAAGCGAAAGTTGGTATCCGAAGGGGACAAAGATATTTCAGACATTATACAGTGTGTTCAACTTTGGGCACTGTCAGTATATGTGCTTCAAGGACATGAGAGCACATGCGCTAGAACACCATACCTGTTCCATCGCAAAGATCCTATAGGCATTGGTGAAAGTGTAAATAAATATTTTGGAAATGAAAAAAAAAAAATATATATATATATAAGAAAATAAATTTGAATATAAATTTACAAACTATATTTCAGAGGAGACAAATATATTTGAAAGGGGAAAAAAAGCAAATTGCAAACAACACAACTATATTGCAGATATGACAACATACTAAAGGAATAAATTCATTTAAAAGACCTCATTAAAAACAACAATTCTATATTTTTATATATACAATATAATCTAATTAATTCAACACACGATAATTCGACCATTTTTGATGTCTCGACCTACGGCCTATCATATGACAAACTAATTCGACACTTTCGATAATTCAACTATTTTGAAATTCAAATTTCAACAGTTGATATTTGTCTAAAACCCCTATTATTAACAACATATTAGACTGCAGAGTGCAAAAATGTAGAAAATTGTATGTATATAATTGTATGCATATATTTGTATGTATATAATTGTATGCAAATAATTGTATGTATAGATCAATGAGTAAAATATTTTTTTTTGCTTATCCCTAGTACACGTGGTACAGGCCTTGATAATCATGGTGGGTAGAGTAGGCGACTGCTTTTACTGTAAGTACACCACATGTCTAAACATGTGAAAAGCAGTTCGACTTTGCATTTACAAATGTGCCAGAGCCCCGTTTGATTACTTGCGCTTGCTGGTGGGGTTGGACTTTTGCAAGAATCGGAAGCCATGGTCTCCAAACTTTCCAGCCTTAGGGCCATACTGATGGGGTCTTTCCAGCCTTAGGGCCATACTGATTACTCCAGTAAGTTCCGAGGGCCAAGATGGCAACACTGCATATTATTAATTTTCCTGTATTAATTGTTATGTTTATTTGTTATTAAATGTTATTATTAATTGTTGCTTTTGTGTGTGATTTAGCAGAATGGAAAAGAAGCGAAAAATTGATAGTGAATGCAGAAAATTCAAAGATCAGTGGAACATTCAGTATTTCGTAATTGAGTCCAGTAACAAGGCGCTATGTTTGATTTGCAATGAAAGCATAGCCGTTCTCAAAGAATATAACATGAAACGTCATTATGAAACAAAACATTCTCAAAATTACTCAAAATATACAGGAATTGTGCGGACAGAAAAATTCGAAGCTTTGAAGCGCGGATTGAAATCGCAGCAATCTTTATTTACAAAAGTCAAAACTGAACAAGAGGCGGCAACTCGTGCCAGCTTTCGTGTGGCTCTTGAAATTGCAAAACGTGGAAAACCATTCACCGATGGAGAAATGATCAAGGAATGCATAATTGCAGTAGTCGAAGAAATGTGCCCTGAAAAGGTAAATTTATTAAAAACTGTCAGTATGTCAGCAAACACTGTGGCTCGAAGGGTAGAAAACATCGCTGAAAATATATCCTCTCAACTGTTCGACAAAAATGGACATGTTGAGTGGTTTTCTTTGGCCTTGGATGAGTCAACGGATGTGTCAGATACTGCTCAGGTGTTGATTTATATTAGAGGAGTAGATAAAAGCTATGAAGTGCACGAAGAACTTCTTGATATGTATAGTATTCATGGCACAACTACTGGTACCGATATTTTTAAAGGAGTTGAAATGGCCATTAATAAAAAGAACCTTCGATGGAAAAACTTGAAATGTATTACAACTGATGGAGGCAAAAACATGAGTGGGAAAGATAAAGGAGTGGTCGCTCTTGTGTCAAAGGCTGTAGAAAATGACGGCGGCTCAAAACCATTAGTCTTTCATTGTATCATTCATCAACAGTCTTTGTGCGGAAAATGTTTGGATATGTCTGACGTTCTGAAACCAGTCATATCAACTGTTAATTTCATCAGATCTTTTGGGCTGAATCACCGACAATTCCGACAATTTATTGCAGAGATTGGAGAAACAGACTTACCTTATAATACTGCCGTACGCTGGCTTAGTTGCGGGAAAGTCCTTCAGCGCTTTTTTGAACTTCGAGCAGTGATCGAAATTTTTTTGAATGAAAAGCACCGCCCTCTTACTGAATTACAAAACAACGCATGGCTATGGAAGTTAGCATTCTATGTTGATTTGACAAAACATGTGAACGAACTGAATTTGAGATTGCAAGGAGAAAACCAGCATCTTCCTGATTTATACACTAATATCAAGTCATTCCGGATGAAATTGATACTGTTTCAATCACAACTACGAAGTAAATGTTTTTCACATTTTAAAACATGTGAAATATTCAGCCACACTACTGAGACTAAGTTTCCTATCGATTTTGCAATCGAAACTTTGAGTGCTTTGAAGATAAATTTTGACACTCGTTTCTCGGACTTTGATGCCATTGCGAATCAAATTAAGATTTTTCAGAATACTTTTGATGCTGACATTGAAACCCTAGCCCCGGAACTTCAAATGGAAATGATTGATCTTCAGTGCAGTGATATAATTAAGAACAAATATGAAAACTCATCTTTGTTGGAATTTTATAAGAGTCTTCCACTGACACAATTTGATAATTTGCATAAATTTGCTCGTGGGCTGTTTTCCGTTTTTGGTACTACTTATTTGTGTGAGTAAACCTTCTCCAAAATGAAGTACACAAAAAATGTATACAGATCTAAATTAACTGCCGAGCATCTTAAATCTCTTTTAATAATTGGTACAAGTAAAATTAGTCCACAACTACAAACTATTGTCGGTGGAAAATCTCAATTACATACATCTCATTAGCATTTCATATGTCATGTTATAAGGTACGTGTTGTTCATTACTTACAATGTATAAAATGTAAGTTGGATTCATTTCAATAATTTGTTAGTTATTATATGCTGAAGTTAAATTTACTGCATAAATTATACATGTCTTTACTCATTACCATTCTGTGTTTCTTTATCCAACTTATCACAAACATTTTATTTGCTATAAAAAATTTTTGTTCTCTAAAAGGAGTTTTCAAGTATGTCTCCGCGGGCCGGACAAAATCTGTCTGCAGGCCGGATGTGGCCCTCGGGCCGTAGTTTGGAGACCCCTGGCTTAGACCATCCTTCCACCAACCCCCAGTAAAATAAGTAAATAAATAGAAGACCAAAAATAATTGATAATAGTTTATTGAATAACAAATAAAATAAAATATCTTTCAGGTGAAAAATTATAGGCATTGGTAAAAAAGTAAAAAGAGAAATAGCAATTGGGGTTTTGTTCCTGCGGCGAGTCACATTAGCACGCCTAGCGGTTCGGGGAGTGAGTCTTCCACGGCCTTTTCGAGGCATGACAGAAGACGCTGAAAAAAAAGGTAAAATAAGAACCAAGCAGAGGAAAACTATAAAACTGAATGCCAGGACAGGCATAAAAAGAAAATTCCAAGCATGTGAGGAAACAATTGATGAAAAAAAAGGATTCCAAAAAATACTGCAAAAAAGAAACCAGACACAAAAAGCAACAATTGATTACACAAATACAGCATCAGCCTATTTATGAGAAGAAAAAAAAATGACAGACACAAAAATGGAGCTAAATTCAAATGAAAAACTATAACAGATCAAGTAATCAAATCAGGCATTATGAAAGATACTGCAAAAAAGAAAATCAGACACAAAAATGGAGCTAAATTCAAATGAAAACTATAACAGATCAAGTAATCAAATCAGGCATTATGAAAGATACTGCAAAAAAGAAAATCAGACATAAAAATGGAGCTAAATTCAAATGAAAACTATAACAGATCAAGTAATCAAATCAGGCATTATGAAATATACTGCAAAAAAGTAAATCAGACACAAAAATGGAGCTAAATTCAAATGAAAAACTATAACAAATTAATACAAGAAAATAAAACCTAATCCAAATAATTTAATAGTGTGTGATGTTTTGGCAAAAGCAATGTCACCATCATCAGACAAAAGAATAAATGAGATTTTATTCTTTAGTTCATTTATTCTTTTGTCTGATGCTGTTGCTGAAACGTCACACACTATTAAATTATTTGGATTAGGTCTTATTAATGAGAAAAAAAAAGATGTCAAAGAGAGATGAAAAGATGCCAAAAAAGATAACCAGATACAAAAATTGTGCTAAATTCAAATGAAAAACTATAAAAAAAACACTTACAAAATATAATTATTATAGAATAAAAGTAATAATTCAATCTACAATTCGAAAAATAATATAACCTCAGCCAATTTATGAGAAAAATAAAGACATTAGGAAAGATACTGCAAATAGAAAACATACACAAAAATTGAGCTATATTTAAATGAAAAACTATAACAAAGTACTTACAAATTATAATTATAATCAAATGAATCAGAAATACGAAATATATATTATAAATTAGTAAAAGGTAATAAGACAAAAGAACGCATTTCAAAACAAAGGAATTGATGATGATAAATGCAAAAATCTACGATTGTAAAATAGATTAAATTAAAAAATAAAAATAACTGTTAACATTAGGAAAATAAAAACAGAACTAACATACGAAGAAAAAAATAACGAAAATTTTGGTATATAGATCGTTATGTGTAGTTCAGAATCTTCGGAGGAGATAGCTTAGGACTTTACAATGGAAAGCTCTGTTACGGTATTATCTATATAGATTATAAAGATAGAAGCTTCTATAGAAATAACTAGAATAAGCCGAAATAGCTCAGTTGGGAGAGCGTTAGACTGAAGATCTAAAGGTCCCTGGTTCCATCCCGGGTTTCGGCATCTTTTTTAAATTTTTACTTACCGTAACTTGACACGTGACCAAAATCTATCCGTGAACTTCACACAGACAGAATAAGGCAATTATATAAGTAGACTAGACGAATGGCCCGGGCAACGCCCGGGTTTTACCCGAGTGCGTATATATTTTAAAAACGTTTATTCAGATACTATTCGTTACAATTATAAATTGGCGCCATGGATGTCACTCTTGTGAAACGTCCCGTTCCAAACTGTGTGTTTTTAAAATGTTTTAATTAAAATACTATTCGTTACAATTATAAATTGGCGCCGTGGATGTCTCTCTTGTGAAACGTCCCGCTCCAAACTGTGTGTGTCTTGAAAATATAAAAATAAAAATGTGAATTTTCATAAAGATTTCACCATGTCGATTTTTTTTTGCATTTAATGAATTACATATTTTATTCTTATAAAGATTATCGATTAAAGGTACTAATATATATTTAAAGGTTCTCATAAAGGTTACCGATTTAAAAGTTTATTTTATTTTATTTAAAGAAACATATTTTCATTTAAGTATTGTTATTTATTTTGAAAGATTAAGTAATTGTGCAAAACGATAATTACCTTAAAAAGAAATTGCCTTAAAAAAAAGAAACATTCGGGGTGATTTTGTCTTGCATTCGTTTATACAATTATTATATATATTGGCATTATATATTAACTTTATGAACGGAAAAATATGTCCAGGGTAGCCTAGTGGTCATAGCATCTGCCCGGTAAGCGGAAGGTCGTGGGTTCGATTCCCATCCCTTGACACTTTTTTTATTTAATCCATTCTGACCAAAATCTATCCGTGAACTTCACACAGTGAACTTCACACAGACAGAATAAGGCACTTATATAAGTAGATAAATAAATAATTATCATTAGATAATGATCATAATGATGATGCGCGCGTTGTTGACCAAAATATATCCGTGAACTACACACAGACAGAATAAGGCAATTATATAAGTAGATATAAAATAATTTCATTAGATAATGATAATGATCATAATGATGATGCGCGCGTTGATGACCAAAATCTATCCGTGAACTTCACACAGTGAACTTCACACAGACAGAATAAGGCAATTATTTAAGTAGATATTGGAATCATATATTAACTTTATGAACGGAAAAATATGTCCAGGGTAGCCTAGTGGTCATGGCATCTGCCCGGTAAGCGGAAGGTCGTGGGTTCGATTCCCATTCCTTGGCACTTTTTTTTATTTTATCCATTCTGACCAAAATCTATCCGTGAACTTCACAAAGTGAACTTCACACAGACAGAATAAGGCAATTATATAATGATAATGATCATAATGATGATGCGCGCGTTGATGACCAAAATCTATCCGTGAACTTCACACAGTGAACTTCACACAGACAGAATAAGGCAATTATATAAGTAGATAAGTATAATAATAATTATTATTATCATCAGATAATGATAATGATCATAATGATGATGCGCGCGTTGATGACCAAAATCTATCCGTGAACTTCACACAGTGAACTTCACACAGACAGAATAAGGCAATTATATAAGTAGATACTAGACGAATGGCCCGGGCAACGCCCGGGTTTTACCCGAGTGCGTATATATTTTAAAAACGTTTTAATTCAAATACTATTCGTTACAATTATAAATTGGCGCCATGGATGTCACTCTTGTGAAACGTCCCGTTCCAAACTGTGTGTTTTTAAAATGTTTTAATTAAAATAATATTCATATATTAACTTTATGAACGGAAAAATATGTCCAGGGTAGTCTAGTGGTCATGGCATCTGCCCGGTAAGCGGAAGGTCGTGGGTTCGATTCCCATCACTTGTCACTTTTTTATTTTATCCATTCTGACCAAAATCTATCCGTGAACTTCACACAGTGAACTTCACACAGACAGAATAAGGCAATTATATATATTACTAGAGAACGTACCCGGCTTCGCCCGGGGTTTTACCCGAGTAAAGGTTTGTCTAGCGAACATTTGTTAAAACAATTCTCTAAAAACTTATATAAAAAAAAGATATATTTTGATAATTTGAGAAACTCGTAAATTTGAATCTCTCGATAAAGTGAACATTTTTTCCCGGTCCCTGTGTGCCGTGTCATCCTGAATTTTGTCTTTCCTAATTTTCTACATTAGAAAATCATAGTTTTATCTAGTGATTATTTTTTCCCGGTCCCTTGAGAAATACTCGATAAGTTGAATAAAATCAATATTAATTGGTTCCCTCGGTAATTGGAAGTTAAATGAATAGTATCTTCGCCTTGTAATTGTATCATTATTCTTGTCTCAAATAAATTGCCGTGTCATCCTGAGATAATCTTACTTTTGATAAATAATATTTAAGATAACAAACTTAGTGATAAGAAAACTTGTTAACATCGTCACAATGGGGGCGCTGTTTGCGAGTTAAATCTACAAATCTGAAAATAACTCTAAGGATATTCAAGATATTTATGAAATTATTTTTCAAAAACCTTCCCGGTGATATACCTAATAATATCCCAAAATATAACGGCGATTGGATGTATGGTTTCAAATCTATAGAATACAGACAAACAGACAGACAGACATTCAATTTTATATATATATATATATAGATAATATAATATAATATATATTAATATAAATATAAGAGTAGATTATAAAGATAAAAATCTTCTATAGATATAACTAAAATAAGCCGAAATAGCTCAGTTGGGAGAGCGTTGAACTTCACACAGAGAACTTCACACGGACAGAATAAGGCAATTATATAAGTAGATAATAAATAATTATCATTAGATAATGATAATGATCATAATGATGATGCGCGCGTTGTTGACCAAAATCTATCCGTGACCTTCACACAGTGAACTTCACACAGACAGAATAAGGCAATTATATAAGTAGATAATAAATAATTATCATTAGATAATGATAATGATCATAATGGTGATGCGCGCGTTGATGACTAAAATCTATCCGTGAATTTCACACAGTGAACTTCACACAGACAGAATAAGGCAATTATATAAGTAGATAAGTATAATAATAATTATTATTATCATCAGATAATGATAATGATCATAATGATGATGCGCGCGTTGATGACCAAAATCTATCCGTGAACTTCACACAGTGAACTTCACACAGACAGAATAAGGCAATTATATAAGTAGATACTAGACGAATGGCCCGGGCAACGCCCGGGTTTTACCCGAGTGCGTATATATTTTAAAAACGTTTTAATTCAAATACTATTCGTTACAATTATAAATTGGCGCCATGGATGTCACTCTTGTGAAACGTCCCGTTCCAAACTGTGTGTTTTTAAAATGTTTTAATTAAAATAATATTCATATATTAACTTTATGAACGGAAAAATATGTCCAGGGTAGTCTAGTGGTCATGGCATCTGCCCGGTAAGCGGAAGGTCGTGGGTTCGATTCCCATCACTTGTCACTTTTTTATTTTATCCATTCTGACCAAAATCTATCCGTGAACTTCACACAGTGAACTTCACACAGACAGAATAAGGCAATTATATATATTACTAGAGAACGTACCCGGCTTCGCCCGGGGTTTTACCCGAGTAAAGGTTTGTCTAGCGAACATTTGTTAAAACAATTCTCTAAAAACTTATATAAAAAAAAGATATATTTTGATAATTTGAGAAACTCGTAAATTTGAATCTCTCGATAAAGTGAACATTTTTTCCCGGTCCCTGTGTGCCGTGTCATCCTGAATTTTGTCTTTCCTAATTTTCTACATTAGAAAATCATAGTTTTATCTAGTGATTATTTTTTCCCGGTCCCTTGAGAAATACTCGATAAGTTGAATAAAATCAATATTAATTGGTTCCCTCGGTAATTGGAAGTTAAATGAATAGTATCTTCGCCTTGTAATTGTATCATTATTCTTGTCTCAAATAAATTGCCGTGTCATCCTGAGATAATCTTACTTTTGATAAATAATATTTAAGATAACAAACTTAGTGATAAGAAAACTTGTTAACATCGTCACAATGGGGGCGCTGTTTGCGAGTTAAATCTACAAATCTGAAAATAACTCTAAGGATATTCAAGATATTTATGAAATTATTTTTCAAAAACCTTCCCGGTGATATACCTAATAATATCCCAAAATATAACGGCGATTGGATGTATGGTTTCAAATCTATAGAATACAGACAAACAGACAGACAGACATTCAATTTTATATATATATATATATAGATAATATAATATAATATATATTAATATAAATATAAGAGTAGATTATAAAGATAAAAATCTTCTATAGATATAACTAAAATAAGCCGAAATAGCTCAGTTGGGAGAGCGTTGAACTTCACACAGAGAACTTCACACGGACAGAATAAGGCAATTATATAAGTAGATAATAAATAATTATCATTAGATAATGATAATGATCATAATGATGATGCGCGCGTTGTTGACCAAAATCTATCCGTGACCTTCACACAGTGAACTTCACACAGACAGAATAAGGCAATTATATAAGTAGATAATAAATAATTATCATTAGATAATGATAATGATCATAATGGTGATGCGCGCGTTGATGACTAAAATCTATCCGTGAATTTCACACAGTGAACTTCACACAGACAGAATAAGGCAATTATATAAGTAGATAAGTATAATAATAATAATAATATTAATTATCATTAGATAATGATAATGATCATAATGATGATGCGCGCGTTGATGACCAAAATCTATTCGTGAACTTCACACAGACATAATAAGGCAATTATATAAGTAGATTCTACTTATTCGTTCAGCAATAGCTTGCTATACTGACATTTTACTCTCAATTCGACATCATATTCTTAAATCAGCATCGAAATTTTCTATAACCTTCCTTGAAAAAATATTATAAAACCTTTTATCTATATTAATAAAATGCAAATTTCATAAGTGTTGTTCACTAAAAACTTTCGTTACAATGCATCAATTTCAACCAAATTTTCAACATTTATGT